TTATAATACGCGGTGATAGTTTCGGGTTTAAAGAAGAGTATTTGCTACACTACTTCACAGCAAAAAATTCTTCGTGAAATGTGATATCTGCTTTCAAATTCCTCCTTTCTTGAATTATGCTTTAGTTTAAATGTAAAACTAATTATACATTACTTTTGTAAATAAGATAGTTTGGGCCAAAGATTCTAATTTCTAACTTGACTTCTATATCCGTATTGTTAAACTAAGCCAAATTTCAATAATCTAAGTAAAACACTCGCAAACCTCTACAACGTACATACATGCACTTAATGATTTTATAAGTTTCAAATTTTGCTTTTAGCAAGGTACCACCAAAAAAGACGTAAATATAATAAACAAGTACAAAAGATTGTTGAGCATGTAGGTACCTGTAGCGATAAATTCTTCATAAGTAATTCTTAATCTAATTTATAATAATGACTTGCTGTGAATAAAAATATGTTTACGGATTTTATCGCGTTTAATCAACTATTTTAACTTAGTTTTTAAATCCCGACGTTTCGGGTGCTTTATAGCACCCATGGTCACGGGGGGGATTGAGATGTTTGACGTCCCAATGTCATAGTTAGTCCGGCTACCTTCAATTTTTGAATATTAATTTTTGGTCCGATTTACGCAAAACGAGCTTACAGTATCATAAAGTCTTGCAGTGATATGCTTAGGTTAGGGTTTAATCATGTTAATTATAGGATCCCAAGCAGATGGCAGCACTCATCCATCTTCTCTATTGAAATTTGGATGTTTTTTTAATTTCAATAGGCTCGCGTATCATCCTTGGTAGGAATCGGTGTTCTTTTGCAAGGATTTGTGGTGTATCGAATCAAATGTAATGGGGACGATCTTGAACATGTTTGCAGACTGCAGACTTCCCGGAGCGTCGGTGCTTCACGAATTAAAAACTATGTTAAAATAGTTGATTAAACGCGATAAAAATCCGTAAATATAGTTTTATTCAATGTGTAGTGTTCGCGTAAATTTAAGAAATCTTATATGACTTGCTGTGATTTATTTATGTAATATCGATAACGTAACATTCATTAGATTATTATGACACAAATGGCTTGATAACTTAATCTGGAAAATGTCTACATTAATTTGTACATAAAAAATAGGATTGATTTAATCATCATCATCATTACATACCATCACAAGTCCTCTACTGAACATAGGCATCCGCTTCTCTTTTGTGGGGGGCCGCCCTAAACTTCGCCGTCTTTTCCTCCTCATCGGTTTTTTGTTCTTCTGCCATAAACATAAAAGGGGGTGAGGCTGCTCGCATCCGTAGGAAATACTTGAAATCTGACTCCCTACATGTGTCCCCCGGGTAGTGCTAAACGAACAGTACCAATTTCGGTCGTAGGTTTCAGCCGCTGGCTTTTTGGTTACCACCCACTAATGCAGTCTTTTCGCCAAATGACGTTGTCGTGTTCCAGCATGATGCTTGGTGAAGCCATATGGAGAATGGGTCTGAATAGTAGCGTTATGTGTGTGTGAACTGGGTGCGAAGCCCACCTGGAGCAGCAATTCCATCTACGTGCCGGGGTCTGTGTGTACGTATGAAATGACATCTGCTTCAGCGTTTCTGTCACCTAGAAGACCCCACTTTTACGACAATCTGGGTAATTGTAGAAACAGGTATTGAAAAAATCCATTATGCCTATGTCTATCGATCGCACAGCGGTTGCCAGGAGACAACACGATTATTTGATCACCTTAGTGAGGCTGCTGATGTGGTCCTTGAGTCCTACTGCACATCTGGCCTTTCCTGTCACCAAGAATGGCTGTTCCCAAACCAGAACACCGACCACGCTGGAAGAGAAGGTCTTTCTCTGCTGGTAAAGGAAGCGACTAGGGTATCCGATGTAGACGGTCACACAGCTAATTGATTTTACCTTCTGCTGACTACCGAACCAGACAGGTATGAACCTGTTACCTCCCCTTCAGGTACATCTGACCACTGTCTGTTGAAATCTGTATTGTCATATTCTCCACCTGATTACGAATCCCAAGGTGTTTTACGAATATATCAGTACAAGTCAGCTGATTGGGATGAGATGCGACAGTTTTTTGCATCCTGTCCTTGGCGAGAGGTCTGTTTCTCTTTTGCAGATCCGTGGAGCTGCGCGGATTCGATAACCGATGTGTTGCTCAAGGTATGGAGTATTTTATCTCTTTTTCCGACGCTCTCACCGGTAGCAAAGCTCGCCCGTGGTTTAACGCTGAATGAGCTCAAGCTGAAAAACGCAAGCATTTATCGTACCTGTTCTGTCCTTAGCTCATAGATTACGGCTTCTCGATATATTCGTAGCCTATAGATATTCAATACTAATGATCCGCCCTGTCTTCGCCTGAATTTGATCTTTTAAGGTGGCTTTATTTATATTTAAGTTAATCAAAGAATATATCTTTTATCAATCACAGTCTTAAGTTTTCGGAATAAAATATAGCCTGAATTCCTCTTGCTCTCTATCCCTTTCTTAAGTTTTACCACAGTTGGTTTAGCCATTTTGGATATTATCCCGGACAGACGAACAAATATTTTAATGGTTATTTTTGTTTTAATACCAAATAAATAACCCCCGAGCTTAATAGAAGCAAGTTATATCAATATTACAGATATAGTTTTATTTATATGTATACGTAGAAGCGACATTAGCCTGGCTGGTCGTGAAACGCAAAAGGTCGTGGATTCGAATCCGCTATTCGACTACTGCAGTGTAACACTCTAAACACAAGCATTTTAAGCTTACCTAACTTGGTTTAGGGGAAATATTTTAAATGTTAATATTTTTCGCATATTTTTTTATTATCTTATATCAGCTTATCGCTATATTTATAGATTTTAAATATATTTACTTATAGCCAGACCGTGTTGTGCAGAAATGTTTCAACTTACAAAAACATAATTTGAATGATAAATTTGTTGAGGTTTGAAAGAATGACAGACCGCATTTTATTTTTTTACTCCGAAGTTTTTTTCATTTCCATTCTTAATCTAAGTCGGCTGTAGATGTCTATATCATCATTATTTTATCACCGGGTAAAGTGACTGTGTACTCGTTTGTTGTCGATGCTCGATTTATTTTTTGTTTTGACTGAATAAATCGTTACCCTCACACAAGGAATTTCGCGTGTATCATGCCTCCACAATCGTCCGGTTTATAAACCGCACATGAACAAATACCCAGACCCGGAACCGGAAAATTTAATAATAATATTATAATAATAATAAATATTTGTTTGTTTTGGAACCGGAAAATTTATGTTTTTGTCGAAACAAAAACATACGGCATAGTGGTAAAGCGACGCTGCAGCGATCTCATGGTTATAAAGTCGGTCAACTTGACCGCTGAAGCTTCATGATTGGTTGTGTTTCGTATGGTAAGTGTAGATAACCGAAAACACTTTTTGCTGTAAACGAGGTCTTCCATCTTAGCCCTCAGCGGCGACAACACATCTGCATAATATTGATTCTTAATCCAGGATAGACGTAGATGTCTATGTACCACAGCATACATTTACTCTGAGATGCGGGTATGTGCTCTTTAGTCAAATTTATTCTATAAAAAAATATTCCTAGTGTGGTTCGACTCAGTGACCTCTGCTTATAAACGCATTGTTAGCGGATTCGAAAACTATTATATTAAATTATTTTAGTTTTTACATGCTCTACGAGGCACGGGTATAATCACCGCATATTTGGAGATTTGAATACTGGACTTCTACTGAGACTTTTTTACAAAAAAACCCATGACCACATAATGAACAAGACCAACAAGGCAGTCGCCAAACAAAGCCTACTCCATCCAATCAAAAATACGAATACATTGAACCAACATGAACATACAGAAACTCTTAAAATGGAAGTTCTAAAAGCAATGCGTCATCGATTAGTTGAATAAAACCAGATATTTAAATAAAAAACTTTATTGTTTATTTGTTACGTATGATTGACTTGCTCTTCAAATATTTTCGTTTCCCATCACACTGAAAAAAAAAGGTTTTTTTCTATTACTTTTTGTCTTAAAACTAAATCGTCATAAGTAGATTTTTAAATTTACTCGACGGCAGTACTCCTCTTCTGCCCAGGATTCCGTCTGGTACATGTTGCTGTCCACAAGATATTTGTTTATGCACTGCTGTGTTCCATTCTGAAGGTATTCCATATTAGTCCTTAAAAGTAACAAAGCGTAATAGCCTTTTTTGTTTGAAGTTGAGTTCATAACATGTACATGGACTACAGTAAACACTTACCATCAGGTGGACTGTAAGTCCATTTGATACTTTATTTTTAATAAAAAAAATTAATTTCTTCTTTTACAAAATAACGGCAATACGTATTTAGTCGAAAAAAGCATCCCTGATTTACTGTCACGCCTTCACCACGCCTCTGCCAGAAGAACTCACAAATGAGAGTAGGTCTGTAACCAGCCACCAGTGGGAGGTACATTTTCTTTTTCTTTTTCTTTATTAGCCCGTGAAAGTTCATTGGGCAGGACATGGGCCTTTTCTATTTTAGGGACGATTTACCTTTATTATCACGCTTGGCAGCAGGTTTGACGATCACAATACCAGAAATCAGGCTCCTTTTGCGCTCCTGGCCTTCACCTGGTCTGGTTACGTTTTCCATTTACGTCTGGCTTTAACACTATGGTTGTAATACTATCTGCAGGAAGGAAAAGGCTTTTCTTACATTTCCAATATCCCTCTCTTACGAGACTCACGGGTTGAAATGTGTTGAAGGATTTTCTTACGCCATCACACGGCAAAGAATACTATGGCAGTTTAATTTGATTAATCATCATCATCCTTATCACTACAGTGTCTAAGAAGTCCACTGCAGAGCGTATGGCGTTTTCCAACTATTGCCACAAAAGTGGTCTCTGTCGATTTCCAGATCGACACTCTATTTAAAGAGAGGACTTCCTACTCTTCGCTTAGCCGTACGAGAGTAAATAAAAAAATAAAATTAATACCTTTTATAGCGCGAAAACTTGCACATAATCTACTCTGAGCGCATTTGTGTCGGTGTACCAGGTATTCAACCATTGTTCGCGAGCGTTCCAGAAGTTAAGCATGGCTTTTGGAGAACGATTGCTCCAAGGTTTACTGGAAGTGTCAGGAAACTCGTGAATACCACCAACGCTGAGACCCAGCGAAATATAGAACTGGAAGATAAAATTATACAACACATTGTAACAGCCATTTTAAGTGTACAACAGGACAAAGACTTTTTTCATAGAATTCGGATGACAACGAGCGCACAGTCTACATGATGGTAAGTGGATACTGTAACCCATATATCTACTTTTATCCTGCAGATGCATTGTCACCCCTGAGGACTAAGATAAAATGCTTCGTTTTCAGTAAAAAGGGTCTCCAGTTCTCTACACTCACCATACGATACACAGCAGTGTTAAGCTGCTATTTTATACGCTGGTATTCTATGAGAGCGCGGTTCTTCCCCAGTCGAGCCGACCCATTCGTGCTACAACTTTAATATAGCTGCAGCGTGGCTCTACCACGTATAAAAAAATTAAAACCTTTAATGTTGTTGGTTAGATTAAGTAAGGGTAAATATTATTTTGACGCCAGACCTTAGTATAATAAAAAGTCCGACGTTTGTTATGTTGATATCCTTAACTATTCTGCTTTCGTTTTTATGGAACACTTCATTGTCGATATAAGACGTATTCGATTGAAGCGGTTTACTTCATTCATCATTCGTAGAGAGAGCAAAGAACTGGTATGATAATGTGGGTGTGTCGATGAAGCAGAAAATAGGCCAAGTTATTGCGCTTTGCCATCACTTAACTATTATATACCTTTATTAGATAATTTCACAACCTTTTTATAAGTTAACCTTAACATAAGTTTCCTATTTTGGTGAATAATCTGTTAAGTAACAGCCATGTAACCACTAGATGGCGCTTTTCGTAACAGAACTTTTTAAAGAATATGCTAGCTATCATGCACTATTTATAAAGCCTTCCCTTATTTACCAAGCTTAACAGGTGTGTTGAAAAGCACATATGTGAAACCCTAACGATATAAGTACGGCTGGTCGTCAAAAGGAAGAGTATCAAACTAGTGACAGACAGTAAATAATTTCAGTTTAGTCCTGATATTGTGTTAATGCACCTATGGCCTTTGTTTGAAATTGTTTGCATATATCCATGGATTCCAATAGCTAATTTTATAATGAACAGACACAAGGTAGTTTATTTAATCTTATGTCTTTCTAATTATTAAAAAGAAACATTTTCTACTGAGCATACTTTAAGATAAAACAAAGTTACTGAACGTATACGGCGCGGTAGCAAAAATAACAAATCCATCGTTCAATATCGTCCCGTGGATGTCGGCAAAGGCGACTATAGGATATGTTAGATATATCTTATGGTTTTTGTTACATTCGTTACTTCGTCAAGCATGAAATATCCCGACTGCAAACAAGTAGCGTTTAAGTTGCGTGGTGTCTGGTACTGCGGTTGGCAATGCGCCTGCCAATTGTGACGATTAAGAGAAATCCTCCCAAAACGGGATACTATTACCATAGATTTGGTTTAAACTGACGTACCATAGATTTAGTATTACAGACCAATAATAAAAAAAATCAAATACTATACCAAATCTCTAACACATTTTTAAAATTGAAGTGTTCCTCTGTAACATCGGGATAACAGCCTTATATGGAGCTGAAAAGGTTATTTGAACGCTATTAAAATACTAACCATTCCTTAAATTTTTGTCTGTCGGTCTGCACGGAATAATCTTAGCAACCTATTGTTATGAAACTTTACCCACAGATAGAAAGCAGCGCTAGGAGAAATCTAGGTAAAATCTTATCTAAAAATCTTGCAATCTTGATAAAATTAATGGTCTTTGATGTGTGTCTTAAATAAAAATATCATCACATTAGTAGAACTTACCCAAGACAAGCCAGGCCGAGCCCAGCAATCCCAGCAATTTAATAAAACTTGCTACGATTGTGCATTAGCATTATGGTAGCAACTTAGTGATTGTTTCAACTTAATGTCTTTAACTTACCAGCTCATCAAAGGGAGCCATGAGAGTTCCTCTTTGCCATTGCGATGCAGCCGTCACATTATTATTCTTCGCTTCTTCGAAAAAACCTTCTCCTGGACTTACTTCTCCATACTGTTCACCATCCACAGAAAGGAGTATTCCATCTACAACGAGTTTAGGATATGTATGATGTCATATATTATACAGGGTGCAAAAATTTTATTGGATCATTCGAAACAAGGAGTTGAGGAGTCCTCATAATTCATTTGATAAATTTAAAGTTGTTGAAAATTAAAAAAGAGATAGAATAATAATGATTGAAGTGGCTGTTCTGCTCGAGCTCGCTATGCACTTATGTGTTCCAAATATTAACGTCCTATTGCTTTTTTCTTTTTTTTAAATAGATATGTAAAAATAATTTCGATCACGGAGGCTTGTCTTAATGGAAACTAGCTATTTGCGCAGGACATGATTATAGTGAACAAGTTTATGCGCAGGATCACTCTCTATTCCCTTATTTTCACAGTCTGAAGGGATGGTAATCCGACACGAATGGAAAGAGATAAGGCACAAGACCTTACGTGCTTTCCCAGGCACACGGTTGAAACAACGCTAAATGACTTCCTCCGAACTACCGGGAATTTCATGACAGAAAAACCAGAGAACTGATTTTGGTCCAACCCGAGATTTGAACTTCATGATCAGAAATCTCGTTTACGGCCAAATAGCCAAGAAGGCAGTCATATATCAGTATGTCATAAAACATGAGGGTGTTACCGATTAGTGTATCATTTTTAATTTTTTTAAAACTGCTTTGTGTTATTAACCTTGAAAATTTAAAAAAGGATACCCGCGGAGTTTCTTCGCCGTTTCCACTCCGATCTGAGGAACCTCATTTCAAAACAGTAGTGGATTTGGAGAAAGAAAATTACATTTGACAAATGAAATTTCAATATTTCATGTAAATACAAAACAAGCACACAGTTCACCTGATGGTGAATGGATGCCATGACTCATATACATCCACATTTATCTTCAATTAAGAATCAAAATGCAAAATGCGCGTTGTCATCCCTGAGGAAGATGAGATGCCTCGTTTCCAGTAGAAAAGGTGTCCGGTTTTCTACACCCACCATACGAAACACAGCAGCATTTAGTTGCTATTGTACATTTATGTTCAACAGTGGAATTTTATAGGCTGTTATGGATAGATAATGAAAATGGATCTCAGTTACTATGCGAAATTAATATATAAACGAAACTGTTACCTATATATATATATATACAAGTGAATCAAACTTACTTGGCCTCCAAATTAAGGTGTAATTATGGAAATCCTTGTACCAGTGATCATTCCCAATTTTCGTTTTGAGATTTGCGGATCTGAAATTTTCAGATAATTAAAGTTCAAGTTCACTGTTGGACATAGGTCAGAATCAATTATTTTTATTGTAGCAGTGCTGTCGTAAAATACACTGAAGCCTAAATCGCGATATCAAAGTACTGAGCTACAGAAATATCCGAATTTGTGCTTTTTTAAACCTTTAAAAAAGTTAGTTTTAAGTTATAGAAACTTTTTTATTTGTTTTTTTTTATTAAAAATACTAAAAAAATCCCCTTTAAAAATAACAATTTCTTGCAATTGAAAAAATAAAAACGATTTAAACAATATGGACCGAGTTGCCCCATGGCAACATGCATTTATATCATCAGTAGGACAATTTCAAGAGAATTGCATTAATAATTGTGGCGGAATAGTTTTCGGTACTCATGCGTCGATTATTATATTATACGCTGATATTTAGTCAGAATTTGTTGCATTTTTTCAGTTCTAAAAATAATTACTGGTGCACTCCTAGAGAATATATTTATAACTCGTATAAAATTGAAAGGGGAATGAAAGTGAACGCAAGAAGACGAAAGTTATGGTTTTTGAAAGAGAGGAAAGCAAAACGGTATGTGAAATAAGAATAGAAGGAGAGTTAATTGAGCAAGTGGATGAGTTTGTGTATTTGGGATGTGTATTTAGCAGGGATGATAAGAATATAGAACGACGAGTAAATGCAGGAAATAGAGTGAATGGGGCACTACACTCTATTGTGAAGAACCAGAATGTATCAATAAAGGCACGTGTGGTAATTCATAATGCTGTGTTAGTCCCTACTTTAATGTATGGTAGTGGAAGCTGGGTGTGGCAGAAGAAGCACGAAAGTAGAATAAATGCTGTAGAAATGCGCTCTTTAAGGAGTATGCTGGGGTTGAATCTGAATGACAGGGTGAGAAATTGCGTGATAAGAGATAAATGTGGTATGCAAGATGATGTTGTTACCAGGATTAAGAAAGGAATGCTTCGGTGGTTTGGTCATGTAGAAAGAATGAATGAGGAAAGAGTGACAAAGCAAATTTATATGGCAGATGTGAACGGCAGAGTCGGGAAGAGACGCCCTAGAAAAAAGTTTATCGACCAAATTGGCAATATTTTGAAAATGGGCCACGTTAAAAGTACCCTTAACTGACGAGCATGTATGCGTAGATATATGGATGTAAAGGAGGTATGTCAGGATCGTGTCAAATGGAAGTCCGTGGTCTCTGCCTACCCCTCTGGGTGACAGGCGTGAGTGTTTATGCTATTATGCTATTTTTAACCCTTTAGCATTAGGTAGGACTGAAATCGTAAATGCATACATTGCCAATACTGAGTGAGCTTTTAAATAATGACGTGTTGAGATCATGTGTAACTAAGACCGATAGATGGCGTTATACACATAAACTTGGAATATTCGTGAACTAAAACGTGAGCTTGTATATATACTTAAAAGGTTATCCGGGTTGGGTTTAGTCCATATAAACATATTTCTCTGTTTTCTCCCTGCATGAATGACGAATGTTAGTTATGATAGCTAAAGTTATGATTATATAGTCTCAGCATTTTGTAAGACACTTCATAATTATAAAAATGATAACTAAAATTAAATCAAATCATACAATCTGCAGACGATAATTTATGTGCTAGACAAATTAAAGCGCAAAAATTTGTTTATAAACTAATATATAATACTTATGTGTATTTTACAACTAAGTGTGAAAATTAATAAACGCACCGGTAAGGTTCCGATTCACACATAATGGGGCCGCCGTACAGTTTCTTGGAATATTCTACGTTGCCTTTAACGCAGGCAACGCGTATTATACCAGAGGCATAATTCCTAAATCCATATACATTGTCTCGAGGCTCCAGTTGTATCTCTGAAAATATTAATAAACGAAATTAAAATGTTAAAAGAAAAATGTTAACAGACAAAACATTAGGTTTTGCTTATATTCCATTAAATGATAGACCAAAATCATATTACCGATATACCGATATTATTAGAATATTCCGTATTAAGTACGGTAGAAAACTCTAACTAATATTTAATTGTATCGTATTATATTGTAATTGTATTGTGTCTAAGTAATATTTATTGTAAGTGTAGGCGACAAACATGGAAAACCAGCCAAAAATTTTAAACATTTTCCTCAACTATAAAAATATTGTTGGCGATATTTAATTTTGTTAAATATCGAATTTCTTGCGTTTCGTAGAGGTGTTGTCAAAATATAAATCGCAACGTGGAAAAACACTAAGACTGAAAAAGTTATTCCCACTTCAAATACCTGCCCCTTGCGAGAATTTGATCATGTTCTGTGGAACCGCAGCATAAGGATAAGCCTAAAATCGTTCTAAACTGACTACATGAAAAACAGACTTTATCCAACGACCTATAATTATATGCCCAATCAACTTTACAGTATAAATTTTGGGTCCACTGCTGAACATGTTCTATGATCGTTAAGTCAACGCTACGTCACGTAACTGATAATTCAGATATGTCATTCCCATTAATTTTTAAAGTTTTATTTAGTGTTAACGACCGTAACGACATTTATGAACACTAAATATGATTTATCAAATGAAACAAAGCAGAAATAGACTGTTATTTTATGTTAGTATCTGCCTTTGTGCACCTGGCCTTTCTGCGAATAAGGCAACCCATTCATAATGCACGCAAAAGTATAGCGCATTGTGGCTCTTACCTGTAAAAAGTTACTTCCTACTCGCTTTCTGCTACAAAACTGGCACGTAAAAAGCTTTTGTCTTTTACCTGAACATAGGCCTCTCCATAGATTGCCTCACAAGGGGATATTTACTTTAACTTCTAGATCCCTTATTTTTTTATAGGATAGGATTACAAACGAGCATACAGTCCACCTAATGGTAAGTGGTTGCTGCGGCCCATAGACATCTACATTTATCCTCGATTACAAATCAAAATGCAGATGGGTTTTCACCCGTAAGGACTAAGATAGAATGCCTCGTCTCCAGTAAAAAAGGGTCTCCGGTTCTCTACACTCACCATACGAAACACAGCAGCATTAAACTACTATTTCACGCTGGTATTCTGTGAGAGCGTGGTCCTTCCCCGGTCGAGCCGAACCATTCGTGCTTCAACCATACTACTAATATAACTGCAGCATGGCTCTACCACGTATAAACCTTATATTATCTTATTACTGCTAACATATGATTATTAAGATGATAAAAAGCAAATATGACTTTAATAACTACTCACCGGGTATTAACCAATTTCCAAAGGGCATCCGTGCTCGAACTTCTATTCTGCCATATTTAAAACTGAACCTACTTTTAGTCGTAACCTTAGCCGAAATGATAGGAGGTAGGATAATGGGCCCCGATGCTTCACGGTAACATTCGTTGGTACCAGGAACTCCTGTACATCTGAAAATTATTTGATGCATTAAATTGATGATCTGTGAACCAATAGAGCTACATTTATGGACAATGTTTTTGACGCACAATACACACAAATACGCGCGAAGATTGGCGTATAACTTTAGATTTCCAGCTCAGTGAAGCATTACTGGATTAGGTCCAGTTGTTAAAGGTAAATCAGGATCAAATGTGACAGATTACAGACTGGTGCCCTGTTATCGCCGGCCAAGGTATTTGAATCGAGGATCTAGAGGCGCTTGTATAATACTTAGGCTGTTTGCATCTTATAAAACGTTACACTAATCTTGCAATATCAATAAAAAGAGGTTACGATGTCATTGGAGGGGCCTTAGGGCCACCGTAAGGCCGCGTACATTGTAATGATAATAAAATATAATATTGAAAAAATTCAATTTTTTAATTTTAAAAATTATCGAACTAAGAAGTATTTTTATATATATGATTATTTATTATCATACGATTATCGTATGATTAGCAACAGCCATAAATTAAACTTGCTTAGAAATGAGGATATCCGCAGTAGAACCAGAGTGACCGACATAGCCCAACGGATTAGTAAGCTGAAGTGGCAATGGGCCGGCCACATAGCTCGAAGAACCGACAACCGTTGGGGAAAAAAGGTTCTCGAGTGGCAGCCTCGTACCGGTAGACGAAGTGTAGGGTGACCCCCCACTAGATGGAGTGACGACCTGGTAAGACATGCAGGAAGTCGATGGATGTAGGTGGCTCAGGACCGTGCTTTGTGGCATACCTTGGGGGAGGCCTATGTTCAGCAGTGGACTTGTAAAGGGCTGTAATGATGATGATGATGATGATGATAAATTAAACATATCAAAAATGTAAACATATCAAAAAACAAAGACATTTTACCTAGCTGTGAGATCCAGCGATTGTCGAACAATATCTTCTCCGTACTTAGACTCCAATGTGATGGGGTTGATAATAAGTTCGCCATCACTTACACGAATATTGGATTCTGACATGTAAACATTAAATGGGTAATCCTAAAATAAAAGTAGGTTTAGTACTTCTAGATTTTAGGCGGTAGGACTCCTTTTCTGGCTAGGACTTCGTCAGGGTTGGCAACAACCTCTTACACATTTCTGACGTCAAGCAGCAGTGTGTGCCAAACTGTAGTCCCGTCTGAGTGCCAGTATGAAAACCTGTACAGCATTCCACCTTCGTTCTCAGAGTTGACAATACATCTATGGCATTTTAGTTCAAAGTTGCAGGTGTTCTCACTTATTTCTGCCCCTAGGCAACAGTGCGTGCCTTGATTTTTCCCGTCTTAGCACCAGTACTATAACTGGCTGTGCGGGATTTCTACTTAGTTCTCAGAAGTTACAACGCATCTACAGTTTCTAAGTTCATGGGCTGTAGAAACCACTCATCATCAAGCGGATGGTTAGTTCCACTATTACATCATACGATATGCTACAGGTATGGTTTGGTAGTTTTAAAAATTATTAATGAGAACCTATCACCTCAATTCGCCCCGTGGGTGTTGTGAGAGGCGACTATGGATAATGCCTGAAAGAACTTATGGCTTCCGATAGATGGCGGTATACCCCCAACCAGATGTCTATTAGTCTTTTAGTCCAGTTTAAGATACTTAGACCGGCAACCGAATACAGTATCAAAAGTGCTCACACCCAGTACTGTGGTCATTATTTGATATACATTTAAGACAAATCCTTAAGATGGGAGCGGTCTAGTAGTAGCAGTGGACATTTAAGGGCTGATTAATGAGAAAAATGAGTAGATACTGCCATAAACAAAAGTAAGCGTATTTCGGATTTATAAAGCTTAAGTGGTGGATTCACGCTGCAATTGTATTAAAAATGCAGCACCAAGTGCGTGTTTTATAAACGGAGTGTTGTGATGGAGACTTTTTTAATAGAGTGTGGGTGACACACACAGGATAAACAGTCCACCTGATAGTAAGTGGGTATTGCCCCCCATAGACACTTGTCACTTGTGTGATAAGAGAAGAGTGTGGTTTGCAAGATGATGTTGTGACCAGGATTAAGAAAGGAATGCTTCGGTGGTTTGGTCATGTGGAAAGAATGAATGAGGAAAGAGTGACAAAGAAAATTTATGTTGCAGAACTGAATGGCAGAGTCGGAAAGGGACGTCCTAGGCGAAAATTTATCGACCAAATTGGCGATTTATTGAAAACGGGCCAAATTAGGAGTACCCTTAACCGACGAGCATGTATGCGTAGGTGTATGGATGTGAAGGAGGCGAGAGAGGTGTGTCAGGATCGTGCCAAATGGAAGTCTGTAGTCTCTGCCTACCCCTCTGGGTGACAGGCGTGAGTGTTTATGTATGTATGTATGTACACCTGTCATCATTACCGTTACAGCCTGTCAAAATTCACTATTAAACTAGGATCCCTCATAGATTGTTAAAATTGATTGTGAAAACAATAAAAAAAGTAAAAATAAAAAGTGTTGATAACAGCATTTTTAATTTTTACTTTTCTGTTTTCAAAAGGATGCTGCTGCCGATCTCTTAGCTCATCTTCTCTCTGTCGACTGTTACAACAGCCACGGAGTGATATAGGGTACTGACTATCCACACACCGCCACTATACGATTAATATAAATATTCGATAGTATAAACATCTACATCTACCCTCAATTAAGAATTAAAATGTAAATATATTTTCACACCTGTGGACTAAGATAGATTGCCTCGATACCAGTAAAATGGGTCTCCGGTTCCCTACACTCGACTTACAAAAAAAGCAGCATCAATCTACTATTACACGCTGGTATTCTGTAAGAGCGCCATTCTTACCTGGTCAAGCCGAGCCATTCGTGCTGCATCCGTATCAATTTTAATGTAAAGTTTTTACTGGTAACTAGGCATTCAATCTAATAAAAATAAGGGTGACAAACGTGCACACAGTCCAACTGATACTGCTGTTTGTCACAGTAGCTCTCTTTCTTGTTTTTAATTATTGGCAGATCTTTTTCTGCTAAGCCCCGGCCTTAGTTGTTACCTATTGAATTCCTGTGCATAATTTCATCTCAGAAATTAGAGACGCCAACGCATCTGTGGACTTATTTTTTTTAAAGTTGGACTGCACTTACAATCACCTTTATATCATTAAAACAAACATGTTAACCGAATCAATACTTACAGGTTCTCCCGGAAATTTAATTTCATGTTTCCATATTTGTCCTCTTTCAATGTTAGAGTTGAAATTATCTTCAAAAAGAAGTTGTCCTTTGCAAACAAACCCGGACACGGATACTTGGGACTCTGATAACTCACATGGATAGCCCGTTAGCGTAGACGGTTTGTTTATAAGCACCTGGGCATTTGATGTAGCAGTTTCTGTTGTAACATCTATTGGTGTGCCATTGATGTTAATGGGATTGCCTTCTTCATTTACAAACTCTGTGAAAAGTAAAATTATATATAAGATTTTATTTGAGTTTACCAGTCGGTGGGTCCCCTAGGTAAAAAAGATATGTGGTATCTACCAACTACCTATTTCGGCTACGAAATAACAGTGCTTGCCGTGAGCTTATTTAAACGATATAGGCGGTCAGTATCCAGGCTTCTGAGAAATAAGATGGAACGTATCTGTAGCTTTCTTTCTTTGGCTGCAAGTGTTTATGGACTGTTAACACTGTCCTCGTAGTAACTCATATATTACGAATATTTTATGTCTTGTGCCATTTTTCTATAGCTAATGTATTCTCTTTGCTGGTTTCGATTATTGTTACAATTTTCCAAATTTTTATAGTGGGAAACAATTGGAGGTATTTCGTACCCGTACGTCCTAACCTATTCGTGGTTGATGATATTTGATAAGAGCTAAGTTAGGATACGGTGTCATAGATATACGGTGACCTCACAATGAACAAGTGCCGGAAACTATCTATGTTTAATTTTGCAAAAATATTTACTCACGCTAAGATCTAAATACAGGACCCATGACTGGATAGTTTGATATACTAACTTCTAATATAAATCGCCAATACAATATTATCCATTAGTGTCGCAATACAATCTAGATTAGCATTATTACCTATATCTATTACCTAGGCCATCATAATATACTCGAACCTATTTACGTGGTAGAGCCACGTTGCAGCTATATTATAGTTGTAGCACGAATGAGTTGGCTCGACCAGTGCAGGACTACGCTCTTACGTGATACCAGCCTAAAATAGCAGTTTAATATTGACTTTCAATAAGAATTACTTGTAATCTATATTGAATAAAAAAAATATTCTATTCTATTCTATTCTATTCTGTTCTGTATTTCGTACGGTGAGTGTAGAGAACCGGAGACTATTTTTACTGAAACCGAGGCATTCCATCTTAGTCCTAGGGGGTGACATCGCGTTTGCATTTTGATCCTTAGTTGAGAATAATGTGGATGTTTATGGGCCACAGCATCCCTTGATCATCGCGTACACTGTGTGCTCGTCTTTCACGCAATGCTATTAATTTTTTTTTCGATTAGTGCCTAGACATAAAAATGCCATGCTTGCTTCAATTTTTCTGCTTTGAGTCGATAAGAAATAAAACAGTATCAGAGATATGGGGACTTTCACATTAAACAACAGCCGAAAAAAGTATTTGTTTAATTTTAAACTTTATATAATGTTTATTCTTTTTTATATAATAAGAGTGTGAAACAAGCACACAGACCATCCGAAGGTAAGTGGTTGCTGTGGCCCTTAAACATGTACATCTATCATATTATGAAACAAAATGCGTTGCCACTCCTGAGGAATAAGATGGAATGCCTCGTTTTAATTAGTTGACATGAGCATATCATGCTTGCGTAACTTTTTCTGCTTGATATACCTACTGACTACAAAGCTCAGTCGTAATTGATACAACACTATCCATTAGTGTCGCAGTACAATCTGGGACACCATTTCGATTAGTATCTACGCATAACAATATCATGCTTGCTTAAGTTTTCCCGCTTGCGGCCGTATCATGTAACGGATCGTTAACTTCTCTTTAATATGTTCCAGTTACTGTTGTACTATGTTGCAGTTGGCTGCAACATGCGTCATCCTTGCAAACAGGTGATCTCTTCAGATTGGAGACAGATTCTTGGAGACGTCTTAGTTATTAACACGTTTTTATTAGCTTGAACTGTATATGTACTGTACTGTATATTGTCTCATATTTCTTACATCCGAAAAAAAATATTTTATTTTATTTCATAACGCGACTTAAGATATTTAATGTAAACCCATGTAAATGTAATTGTATTGGCAGACATTTCGTCTTGAATTCATAAAATTAATTTTAATTCCAACAAGCATTGTTATTTGCTCTTACGTCACACATGATGTTTGTCTAAATAATAAAAAAGGATACCCGTTTCGTTTAAGAGCCTGCGCCCACAGACGGCACGGCATAGCACGGCGTGTCAAAGTATTTTTTGGGGAAAAAGATTTTCGACGTTATTTTAACGATCTTACCACTGACACGAATAGACCAAAACGTCTCACGTGACACCACAGTATGCTGTTGCACTTCATGGCATTCATCGGAACGGAATAAATCGAACGGCATCGGAATGCCGTTGTAGGTCACGGTATTCTATGGGATGCCGTGGCACGCCGCTGCATCACGTGAAAAACATAAGTTACTTTGTGTTGTTAAGGGAATGTGAATGTTAAGTAATTGAAACAAGGTTGAATCTAGCCCTTTGTGGCAATCACAGCGACTTAGGCGAGCTCCCGATACACAAGCGCGTCTTGACTTGCTTGGCATGTCGCGGAATGCCATAGGATTCTTTAACATGCCGTGGGATGCCACAGAATCCTTCGGCATGTCGAATTATGCGTTGCCACGCCGTGCCGTCTGTGAACGCAGGCCCTAATACTAATACGATTCGTGTTACCTATAGTATATTGTGGTTTTCTTTAAACCGGTTTTTATTTTCAAGCCATTCTGTGACTATTTTTGCTTTAAACAAAAGTGAATGTCAGAAAATGTTAATTAAAATGATTTGAAATATATAAAAATTGTATGTATAGATTTACATAATTGTATAATAAAACTCATTAAAGCACTCTGTGCAGATTTGTTCCACAAATTATTTTTTAATCTTTTATAAGCCAGTGCTTGATTATTTAGACTGTAAGCAAATGACGATATAGCGAAGAAAATAAAAACGAATGTATAGGCTTTTGCTTTTGTTAGTGAACTTAGCAAAAGCATATACATTCGTTGTTGCTTGTACACAACGGTGCTGATTATAATAATATAAAACTTTAAAAACACTTAACTAATGCGTATTGATCATGAGCTGTAATTAATATATATATATATATATATATATATATGAATAATACATTTTATTTAGTTTTATCCTGATCAAAGTACTAGGAGAAGGTTATTATATTATTTTACTGTCATCGTCCTTGTATCCTTGATACGAGTGCCAATTTTCAAGCCAATCGGCCGTCTTCAAGTTAGCGAAGTTAATAATGCGACCACCTTCACGGATATTGGAAGACAGACGCAATCTCGCGTTGTAATGCTGTTCAGTGATATAGGTAATTAAAAAGATATTTTATGTCTGGCTCAAAGGACGAAAATGCACATTGAAGGGAAAAACAGTTTTCAGCGCGTTGTGGTTAAAGTGTGCATTTGTCAAAACGCGACATCGGAATTTCAGGAGATGCATGGCAAAATATCCTCTCTCTCCTCTCTATACCCTTCAGACCGGAAAGCAGCAGTGCAGTCCAAGCACTGTTATTTGGTGGAAGAAGTAGGTAAGCGGATGAGTGTGAGTACAAAAGTAGTTTTCTACTGTTCATTCATATATCCATTTAATTTTGGAAAGGTAGGTCACTCAATTACCTGTTACAGTCCATTCTCCGTTATCCTGTCTATATCCAAGCCCATCCTTTATGACAAATGTCCAAAAATAAATTTTATCCCCAATTTTCAATTGTGCTTCCCGGTCTCTAAAAGTCCATCTTCCATTTTTCACCTTAGTAATGTCCCGGGACCATTGACCTGCTTCCAAACCTTCCATTTCTTCATTAAGTTTCCCATGGAAAGCGAATAAACTGTATCCATCATCTGTGAAATAAAAATACCATGTAAAATATTTTCGTCCTTCTTAAACTATTAACTAGGATTAAAAAATAAATAATAATGAATAAAAAATTTGATTATATTCCATCAAAAGATGTTGAACATAGGCCTTAGAAACCGAATGTAGAATGTAGAAGGAGAGTTGTTTTGCAAGTTAAGTTTGTATACTTAGGATATATGTTTAGCATGGATAGTAAATGTGACAAGAATAATGATGAAATGAATAACGGGTCTCTTTACAATATTGTGGGAAGTAAGAATGGGCACGATTAACATATGTTAGTGAATGTGGAGTCTGGCATAAAATGCATGTGAGTACAAATTCATGATTTAGAAATGCAGTAAGAAGTTGTGTGATAAGAGAAAAAAATGGCTTGCAAGAAAGTGTTGAGACCAAAATCAGAAAAGGAGAGCTTAAGTGGTTAAGTCACGTAGACATATGTAATAAATCAGGCCAGATTGGGGAAATTTATGCCACAGAAGTGAGTGGCTGAGTCGGCAGGGGACGCCAAAAACGAAATTTTATCGACCAAATTGGCGATATATTGGGGATGGACCAGGTTAAGAGCTATGTGTAGATATATATAGATGTAAAAGAAGTGACAGAGGTATGTCAGGATCGTGCCAAATGGAAGTCCGTAGTCTCTGCCTACGCTTTTGGGTGACGGGCGTCATAGTATATATACTTTATATAATTGTAATCTAACTATATAAGTATATAAATAACTGTAGTTTATTAACATCAGGGGGTTATTTGTATGTCTGTACTACCTAACCGTCGAAATAACTGAACCGATTGTGACGAATCCTCACGGAACTGATGGAGAGTAAATTGAAAATGGCTTGTATTAAAATATTTTTAATGTAGACTCAAGAAAATAAACTTTTTATTATCTTCAGTCTTCATTAAAAATACTATGCATATATTGTTGGTTGTTTCGTCATTGTTTGCCTTTATTTGTGGAAAAATAGTATTTATTAGCCGAAATATTTTTATATTATGCCAATTAAGTTTGGAATTAATTTTAGATGCAATGTCAGAGATACCTGGACAATCACCACACAAGCACACCTAAGAACCACCATTACATTTACAAGAATATTGTCTCCAATTAGAACTCAGGCCCCGCAATCCGATAGATTTACCGGAAAGCAGCAGTACGTGTACGTTGTATTGCGGTCTGTAGAGTATGCAGAGGTAATTTAATAACACGCTATGAGCTATGACAATGTATAAGTGGCCCAGTTGCTTAAATTTGATTGCAGTTGGCCATAGACTGCAGTACCCACTTACCATCAGATGGACAGAAAGTTTGATAGACACACTATTTTATTAAAAACTCACACGCTCTGAGCAATAAGCCATCATATAAGGCCACCATAAAAGTAACCATATAGGTAATAATGTAATATCGTATGTTTATATTATACACTACTTATCGAAGCCAGTTCATGGTTATGACCTTGGGGAAAATCAATAGTTATGACCTGGCTGTATGATTTCTGATGACCTTAATACAGTCACGCCTGAGATATATAGATTTTATATCCACGTAACCAAAAAAACCCGAACCGGATATGTTGTTGTCATGATTCTTATAAATCAATTTGACTTTTATCGTTCGTATAAAATATAAAGTTTTAATAAATAATACAAATTTAAAATTACTAACCTGGAATAGACACGCGTAATCCTTTCGGATAAATTGCTTCTAACTTCGCTGGTGGCACTTCATAACAATTGTAATTATTCGCAAAAACACACACTAGTAAAACTACAATATAAGTAATTCGAGACATCATTAAATCACTGTTGGCATTACTCTAAAATGTTGATGAAACTGTTTTACTGTAGGTTGATTTTTTTAACGACGAATGTTACGCGAGCTGTGATCTAGACGGTCGTTTCGAACAATCTACGATACGAGAACGACTAAACTATAAACTAGTAAGCTGTCGGAGATACAATCCGTTCATTATAATTATTATTATTAATTTTAAAAACAATCCACTGCATGAAATAACTTGCTCTTATGATATGTTAGCATGTTATGAATACGTATGTACGTAACTGCCTCTTGATAATCGCAGGCGAATTTAACAACATAAACAGATAACAAAAACAGTAAATTTGCCACAGCTGACTTATTTACATCAATCATCATCGAAGCACAAACTATTGTAGTCTTTAAGCGGACTTCTTAAAGAGCAAAGAGCATTACTTGTCTCAATCGTTCAAACATCGTTAGAATAAATTATGTGAATACGTAGTTTTCTATGTATTTGTTTTATGTTCTTGTTTGAGGAATTTTGGTAATTCATAATTTTTTTATATATATATATATATATATATCATATTTTCGTTTTTTATGTATTAGTTATTTATATATTATTTTATTGCATGTATTGATATTATATTATGTATATTTATATTGCACCACCTACCTATTCACTGCTTTGTTCCTTTACACCTTTGGTTGCCTGGAAGAGCTCGCTATGTAGCGATAAGGCCGCCAAATTTTGTGTGTGTAATCTGCTCTTTTTTATGTTCTTTGTAAATTTGTTTGTGCTGTACAATAAAGTATATTCATTCATTCATTATATCTTTTACATAAACAAATTTGATTTTTTAAATGTAAATGTCAAGTTCTTTTTCCCGTTCACTGTGCCATGCATGATTATATTATAATCTATAGCGAAAGAAAATATAATAAGGATTTTTACATGCACGTTTGGAGTTGCAAATGCAGGAGCAGCAGCAGTCCAACGGATGACATCAAAAAGTTTGTCACGTTTGATAACTTAGTTGGAATGCCTCGTTGCCAGTTAAAAGGCTCTCCGGTTTTCATTATTCACCGTATGAAACATGTACTTCGCTACGGTGCAATGTGAAGTGTCTATAACTGTGTCTGGGCTGGGGAATTACACTCTTATTGACATTCCGTCTTAGTCGTCAGACGTAATGACAGCGCATATGAAGTTTTCTTTATTTGATATTATAAACGGGTGTCTATAGGCTGCAATGACATATGACTATCAATCAGGTGGACTATGATTTCAATAAAATTGACGCAACTAACTCATAGTCCATCTGATTGATAGTCATATGTCATTATTCTTGTCATATTATTATATATGACAATAATAGTCATGTCATACTATTATAGCACGATTAACTACCTGTAGTTATTATCGTTTAAATATATCTTTACTAAACTTTATTTAAAACATAGCGTATTTTTTATATCAGTTATTTTTACATTTTATTGGAGCGGAGCGAGAGAGTGGACTAAGAATTAGAACCTCTTTTCTGCCGAGGAGTCCGTCTGGTTAAGTACGTCAGGTACTCTCTCCTCCTTAGTGGAGTGAGTAAGAAGGTAGCTCTTACTCACTTCGGCCACAAAATAGCAATAAAGGATAGTTTTTCTATCAATCTTTATGAGACTTTGCTAACATTTTTTTCTATGCCTAACTTGCTTACCTTGACTATCACGTAGAAACCTATTTAAAAAGGCCAAGTATATTGACTGATCACATTGAACATCAAAACCCAACTACTTAATATTATGACATGCTAAGTTAGTGACGATAAACTATAAAAATGATGTATTTTAAAACCATTCATCTATTATGATCATTTGATTCTAAACCTTTTTTACGTGGTGAGAACTCATTTTCTGTCTAAGTGTCGGTAGATAACACTTTCTTACCTATTTCTATCACCACACTGCGGTGCTTGAAATGCTGTTTTCCGGAATGAATGGTATAGACAGCTAATATGATTAGAAGCTGTGAGGCGTTCCATCTTAGTCCTCTGGGGTAAGCATCTGCATTTTGATTCTAAACTGAGGATAAATGTAGATGTCTATGGCCCACAGCGTCCAGTCCACGTCTTATTCTAAAAAAAATATAGTTTTGGTACCATGCTTTTATCTATTTCTGGTGCGATACAATTGTGTTACCGTAAGCAGCATCACAAAACTAGTATAACTATAAGCTGTGATCTAGTTTAGGTAGTCCTCATGATGACAACGTACGAGGACTGATTGCATATTGATCCATGGATTGAACTGATCACGACCAAATAACCAATTTTAGGTTAACTAGGACCTCTTTTATAATACTAAGTGCCATAAAAAGTAGAATCGAAAAACAAACTAAACCATTTCCTTAATTATAATATTTCTGATAATGCGACAACGCTAGAGCGTTCAATAGATTGAAGAACTGTTACCAACGATTGATTTTCTTTCTAAGTCATTACAAATCTTCTCGCATGCTGACTTGGCGATTTCCAGCCTCTCACACAAACTGGTTTCTGAAAAGGTTTTTCTATAAACAGCATTCCACCCTTCGGGAAATTTTACAGATACCAAAGACCCAAAGAGTAAAAGCTACTACTTTGGCTTGCGGATGTCGACTATGACAAATGCCAAAGTGACGAATAACTGACTTGATTTGAACAACACAACCTGCAACTTTCAGAAATTTCAAAGAACCCCTTTCATTCAGTCATCAGTTTCAGCAAGTCATGTCAAGGTGCGGCGATATTTCATCCAGGACAGCTTGTAACTATATATAAATCACCAAGTACAGTCGTGCATAAACTAAAGCTACTTATGGGGTGTGTTTGACTTTGGACTTAGCGAATAAATCCCTTAGAATGTTATCAATCTTAGAAAGTTATCAATAACCTCAATTTGGTTTACAAGAAATGTTAAATGCGTTTAGCAGAGGCAGATAGGTCAGTCTCTTAGTATTCTACAAGATATGATTTCGATAGTGTTCGCTAGAATTACATGATTTATTTCCCTCCTCCTCCTTTTAAATTTGGAAAACTCCTTTATTGTCAAAATATAATGCTTTCGATCGGTTCTGTTCATAATTATAAGAGCAAGTGTATGGAAAAACTTGACAACGCATGTTTTTCCCTTTGATTATAACATTTGTCTTCCTGACTAAAGATGAACACTGAATATTTTATTTTGTAAGTTTTTGTCATGCAAAGTAAGTATTAACACCGGGTATTGTATTATCACTTAAAATCAGAGTAAAAAAGGAAAAATTTAATAATGCCACTAGATGTACCATGATAGCATGCTAAGATTTTAATTATAAAAATAATGACATTTAAGAAATTAAAAAACAAAAATGTTTTATTCAGTTTATTTAAATTTCTCAAGGAGTCTCACGTCACAATTAAAGCGAGACCTGTACAGAAAGAACCGGTCATAACTCTTAGGTCAACGCTTTTTCTACCTGTTTATTTCTTTCATCGCATGGATAGCTATAATAAAGATCTTGTTTAAGACTCGTTTGGAAAGACTACTTTGGTTTTATATTTTTTATTAGCTATGTCCCGCATGCGTTACAACAACTCAAAACTAGAAAACGAACAAACGAACACAAGTAACAGTTGAAGAAATGCCTTCCCCAAAAAAATGGCACAAAGCAGGGTCCTGAGCCACCTGCATCCATCGACTTTCTGTATGTCTTATCAACTGCCATACTGCAACTAGTATGAAGTCACCCTTTACTTTGCTTATCCGTACGAAGCTGCCACTTCAGAACCTTTCTTCCTCATGGGTAATAATAACTGAAACTACCACGTTCATAGACATAATTTTATTTCTTTATTACGCGGATTTTTGCTTATTAGTTTTTAACATATTTTTTAAAAAAGGGTTTCCACAAATTAACACCTGATTCTATCAACTTAAACAAAGGAATATTGTATTCAACCAACTTCAAAATAAAAGAGAAGGTTCTCAAACCAACTGTATTTTTATGTGTGAACCGACTTTTTTCTAGGTGAACCGATTTTGATAGTTCTTGACTGAAAACTGGTGCTTCTCATGTGATCATATAAATTTGATCAAGATCTGACCAGTAGTTTATGAGTTGTTCGTAATAATGCGTTTATAATTGACTTCGACTACATTGGTGATGATCTCGTTTTTAATATTGAGGTCGGTTTTTTCATAGGATAAGGTCACAAACGAGCACACACTCCACCTGATGGTACATGGTTGCTGTGGCCCATAGACATCTGTCCTCGATTACGAATCAAAATGCAAATGCGTTGTCACCCGAGAGGACTAAGATGCGAATCCTCGTTTCCAGTAAAAAGGGTTCGGTTCGGCTTTTATCCTTTCTCTGGTTCTCGGTTCGCTATCCTCACCATACGAAACACAGCAGAGTTAAGCTACTGTTTTACGCTGGTATTCTGTGAGAGCGTGGTCCTTCCCCAATCAAGTCAACCCATTCGTACTACAAATATACTACTAATATAACTGCAGCATGGCTCTACCCGTATATCGCTTATACAATTAATTTAATTTAACCACTTTTTGTCAGCAACTTTTCCGGGTGTGTACACAACACTTCCCAAAGTTTTATTGCAGTCGGACGAATGATATAAGGTCGTGTACTGGAGAACCAAAAATCCATTCATTGTTATATAATAGAAGGTCAAAAACCATTTATTTTTATATATTAAATCACTATAATAACTTATTCTATATTATATATTATAGCACTAGAAATATCTTGCGCAAATCATCTTTTTTTCTGACATCATTGTATAATTTACATTGCACACAGCAGTGAACCGGGTAAACCGGTTAAGATGCTTCATCGCCAAGACATTTTATCTACTCGTATTCCATCCATTAAAGTTGCGCATAAAATTAATCAAAAATTAGCATTTTATTCGGGTTTATTAAGTATTCAAATAAAAATGATTTTACCATTGTGGTCGTCGCTCGTGATAAATTACAACATAAAATTGAAATTGCTATCTCGGTGGAGCCCTCATAGGAAATTGAACGCATTAAAAAAAATGTAAACTAAGTTACACTTACTAATTTGAATAAAACAACTTATAAATTATTAATATTATTTATTACTATTATACATTTAAAGAGCGTATATTCGCACATAATCCACAACTAAAGCACTATCGTCTTTACGCCACGAGGGATACCATTTATCGCGTGCGTTCCAAAATTCCAACATAGCCTTATTTGAAGTATTTTTCCATGGCTTGTCAGGAGAGTCAGGAAATTCATAGATGCCACCAACGTCAAGTCCTAATGAGACGTAGAACTGTAAAGGGAAAATGTGAATTATAGAAATAACTTCGAATAATATAAGCGGCAGCATCTTCCTGATAACAACTCAAAGGGCGCGTTTGGCAGAAAAAAGCGCTAGCTAGCGCTTACAAGCGCTAAAATAGTTTTCGGCCAGGACACGATTGCTACTTCAGTAGCGCTGACACAATCCGCCATTTTGCTTATTTATTTTGTTTGTTTTGAAGTAGAAATTATAAATTGTTTTGTGCAATATTAGTTTTAAGTAATATAATGACATGAATAGACATATACATGTTATTAAAAATTCATGATTGGTAAGTTTTTAATATGAATACTTTACAAACATATATTTAAATTAGGTTAGGTTCCCCGGTTAAAACTAACATCGTGTCCTGGAGGAAAATAACTACTTACGATTTGACAGCGCTTACCGCTTTCGATCGCCATTTTGCTTACAAGCGCTTGCTAGCGCTTTTTTCTGCCAAACGCACCCAAAGTTAGCGCGGTTGCAAATCCACCCGTCAAGCCCGTCAAAACTCCTCTATGAGGCAATCCATAGGAAAGACCAATGTTCAGCATTGGACTTTGAAAGGCTGTAATGTATGGAATGGATAGAATAATACTATGACAATTAATCTTTTTCACTGGTCACGAGGCAGTTCATCTGGTGACTAAGAATCAAAATGCAAATAAAATTTTTAATTAAGGTGTCTATGGGCCACAGCTAAGACATATTGTATCGATGAAGTAAAAACACGGCTGTTGAAGTCGGTTCTTATTTTTTTATTTAAAAATAAATTTTCTAACCGTTTTGAGTGGACTAAGGAATATCACAAACTTAGCTTATTTAATTTAAAAAAAATCACTAAGTTTCAGTAGTTCGCAATTAGATACATACAATTGTTTTTGAAAAACTAAGTTTTTCACAGCCAAATTGAGAACCTAGTTTAATTTTGTATAATCATTATTTACTTACCATTTCATCTAGAGGAGCTATGAGAGTGCCTTTTAACCAATTTGTAGCTGCTGTTACGTTGTATTTCCTTGCCTCTTGAGAAAACCCTTGGCCTGGTGTAACCTCGCCGTATTTTTCTCCATCGACATATACAGATACTTCGTCTACAATAAGTAAAACGCTTTTATTTTTAAAATTACATATTGCTGTGTAAATTAATGTATGTAAGAGAATTCACCATTTCTTTCTATGTGTGTCATAAGAGGCAACTACTTGAAATGGTAGAAAAACCTTTTGACTTCCTAAAGGTCAGTATTGCAATCTCGTTTACGTCAGACGTACGTGGTAGAACTATGCTGCAGCTATATCATGGTCGTAGCAGGAATGGATCGGCTCGACCGGAGTAGGACTACGCTCTCACGGAATACCAGCGTAAATTAATACAAGTAACATTAAAAATTTTGTACAATCGAATTCAATATAAATAAAATGAGGACATCATCAATATAGTCGATCTCAATTAAATATACATTCTTTAGGATAACTCAAAAGCTACTGGTCACATCATGATCGACAGCTCCGTGGTGCAGCAGCCTAGCAATGAGTTATAGTGCTGAGGGCCGCGGGTTCGAATCCCGCACGGAACAAGTATTTGTATGGCCTACAAGTAATTGTTCCGGGTCTAGATGTTTTTCCCTGTGCAAATTATGTATGTAACAGATACGCCGATACAGGAGAATTCCAAGGGTGGGGGTAACGTTTTTATTAAAAAAAATGTTTATGGGACCGCATGAGATTCAAATAAAAAAGAAGCATCAAAATTGGTACACCAAGAAAAAAGTTCTGAGGTAAAATACAACAATAAAAATACAGAGTCCGCTTTAAGTCGGTTAAAAAGCTTTTAAGTCTAAGATGGCACCCGTAATTCCTATGGACAGATTCAAGGAGTGCGCTTCAACACCATGCTCGGTGTATTTCAGTTTTTCGAGGCTTACCAGTAGCATATGCGATTTTAAAGCTTCTAGTTAAATTACAGGCTGACTCAAGAATAGTATATTTACAATGGATACCTTCGCACATTGGCTTAGAGGGTAATGAAAAAGCTGATATTTTAGCCAAACAAGCTATTTCGGAAGGCACTGACATCAATATTACCCCTTCATTTCAAAATTATATACCGTTATTAAAAAAATATTGTTATGACCTCTGAAAGGAATATTTTGACGAAATAGCAAAAGAGAAGGGTATATGGTACCGTACGATCCAGCCGTACCCAATGCGCTCAACCTGGATAGATAACCGAATATTGTGTAGACGCGTTAAAACTCAGATCTGGGCACATTCCATGCAATAAATTTTTATACTTGTTGCGAAAAACTACCTCACCAAACTGTTCAACTTGCAATGTTATCGATGATGTTTATTACATTTTGATAGTGTGAGATCCGAAAGAAAAAATTGTAATTTACATTTGTCATTGATTGGCAGTATTAATAGTATTTTATCAGACCCGTTATCAGATGATGCCAAAAAACTTTATGTGTTAGTAAATAAGAGATTAAGTAATTAATAAGTTTATTTGTTAGTATTTATCCTATTTAAGAATTTGTTGTAACTACCAGGGCGTCATAATCGCTTCAGCGACAAAGCCCTTTTTCTAAGAATAAAAAAAATCCTATGGCGTTACAGATGTTCATCAGCTAAGGTGTGCATTTACCATCAGGTGAGCGGTTAGCTCGTTCGCCTCCTCTTTAAAAAATAATGTTGCTGCTTCTGAAATTTCTAGTTGGAACCAGACAGGTTATTAGTAAAATTTAGCTTTACTTCGACGAAGTCCAGTACATTAATGATTTTAAAAATTATTAGCGAAAAATCGCGTTAAGAACATTAATGATATTTCCACCACTAATCCAAACCAAACTTTAAACTACATAGTTAGTTAGAGACACCATTTTTAACTATCGCGTCAATCTTATTTAATCTACTTAAACATCCTAAATACCAAAAAGGTTAATTGTAAGGCCAACTCTGCTTTAATTATCTTTCCTTTAAATATCAACCCCTATTGTATAATTATCAAGCCAACTCAAGCGAAATCACTTTACGTAAAATAAATCTTTGTTTTGTACTTTTATATCTCAAACTAATTAATAACCATCTTTATGTAGATATCGAATGATTTTTGAAATCGATAGCGGTCTCGTATTTTCCTTAAAAATTAAACTAAAAGACTTCAACTTAAATTATTTAAATTAAAACCTGTTTGCTAAGGTGCACAAAAGTAACGTCCTCGGATAACGAACTGCCAATATCCGTTTACGCTAATAAAAAAAACTATAATATTAAAATTTAAGAAAAGTTAATCATGTATTGATCATGTGAGCTGTGATGATTCTAGAGAGAATCATGTTGGTGATTCTGATCAGGATACTAGGATAAAATTATTAAATTATTGTATTTTCATAGGTATTTGATACGTGTGCAAATTTTCAAGTTAATTGGTTGTCTACAAGTTGGTGAAAAATATATTAAAAGATTCCGTCATATTATATAGACAGACAGATACACGTAAAGCTAATACAAGTGGTTAATAAAAATTAATGGCATGCGTTATTAAAATGTTAAGCCGCGTAACTGTCACGATGTTATCATTCATTTCATAGTTTTTAATTAACGTTGACGATTGTACAAAGTCAACCTGGCTAAAATATCTGAACTTCTATCTACGCCTGACACAGAATCTTCGACGATCTGAATTTTGTGATATCTGTAAAAACATAGCTTGACCAATCCTTTTACCACGATGAATGAATGAATGAATATACTTTTTTGTACACCACAAACAAATTTACAAAGAACATAACAGAGAGCAGATTACATGTACAATTTGGCAGCTTTATCGCTACATAGCGATCACTTCCAAGCAACCAAAGGTGTAAAGGAATAAAACAGTGAATACTAGGTAGGTGGTGCAATATAAATATACCTAATATAATAACAATACATACAATAAAATATTATGATACACATATACATACGTATGACACACACACACACACACGCACACACACATACACACACACACACACACACATATATATATATATATATATATATATATATATATATATATATATATATTTTTTTTTTTTTTTTTTTTGTGTATATATATATATCCTTAAATATATTCCACAAACAATAACATTAAACAAATACTACATAATCACATAATTTATCCTAATGATTGAGAAAAGTAATGCTCTTTAAGAAGTCGCGATAACAAACCTTAAAATTTTATTCACTATTTACAGAAAGTGGAAGACGAATTCTGTATAAGCGTATTGCTTTTAAAGTAAAAGTGATAAACTACATAGTCAACTTACTTGGACTCCAAAGAATTGAATAGTTATGAAACTTTCTGTTCCATTGGTCATTTCCGACCTTCTCTTTTAAATAAGCTTTTCTGAAAAATAAGATTAATTAGTTTATTAATTATTATATTAAGATCGTACAGTAAGACCTACTTCAGATTCAGTTCATCTTATAAAATTCGCTGTTGGCAATGAGATTCATACTATAACCTTTTATTCCGATAATAAAATTAATAGGACTGTGTTCCGGCTTAAATAAAAAATGTGTTTATTATAACATTTATTATCTTCATTATACTTTACATAGGTCTTCGCTGTTTTTTTTGACTGAATATAAAAATGAACTATGTTTTTAATACAAATTGAATTATTTTTATATTATATTTTATTCTATGAATAAATTTCATCTAAGGATTGAAAAAATTGGTCCAAAAGTATCATAATTTTACATAGCGATATTTTAGATTTTTAGTATCTTTATAAAAAAAAATAGAATTCATACACAAAATCTAAACTTTCTTTTCAAACAAGACACATGAAGAAAACAAATCCAATGACATTTTTTTTCACATTAAATATTTTTATTGATCTAGGAATAGAACGAAAAAGTTGTACCTGTACGGATTTAATTCACTCACGATGACTCCACCGTAAAGTCTTTTTGAGTATTCAATATTGCCCTTTACACAGGCAATACGTATCAAGCCCGATGCATAATTCAATGACCCGTAGATTTTATCACGTGGTTCGAGTTGAATCACTATAAAACAAGGAAAAAACAGTCTGATTAACGTTACGCAAAAAACATCTGGTGCGTTGAAAGTTTCACAATCTATAATTAAGAAAAACAGCTAATAAACTACTAGACGCAAACACCATCCAACACCATTATTGGGACGAGGGGTGCGGGTACAAGCCTTGACCGTTCAGTGACGATGTAAGTATTCACTGTCCCATATCATGGCATGGCTGTCATAAGGGCCGACAGAGGTAAATGAACTAAGAGAAGAGCAACAGTGTCTTCCTTAAAACAACTAGAAATTAGAAAACCAGCGGGAGGAAAGGCAGCTTTGCCAATACTTTTATAAGGAATCTGTGGGAGAGCATACTTTGATAGACTGTAATGAACAAACAAATTAAAAAAAAAAACTTCGCTACACTGTTCCAATCCTCGAAATGTTATAACATGCTCATAAAGTATTATTTACATATGTTCATGGTAGAGCCATGCTGCAGTTATATTAGTAGTAAAGTTGTAGCACGAATGGATCGGCTCGACCAGGGAAGGACCTTGTTCTCACAGAATACCAGCGTAAGACAGAAGCTTAATGCTGCTGTGTGGAAAGGAGGCATTCCATCTTAGTCTTCAAGGGTGACAACGCATCTATGGGCCGCAGCAGCCACTTACCATCAGGTGAACTGTGTGCTCGTTTGTCACCATATCCTATAGAAAAACATCTTAGTTTCTCCTAAGATTGAATAAAACTAAATTTACGGATTTTATCGCGTTTATTTCACTACTTTTACTTATTTTTTAATTCCCGACGTTTCGGGTGCTTTACAGCAACCGTGGTCACGGGGGGGGGGCTATACGGGGATAAGTAAAAGTAGTGAAATAAACGCGATAAAATCCGTAAATTTAGTTTTATTCAATGTGTAGTGTTCGCGTAAATTTAAGAAATCATTGTGCTAAGATGTTTTCTTATGCCGTATTGCACGTTGAAAACTTATACACTCTAATTACGACCCATTTCTTGGCATTTGTTTCTTTCATTTCTGTAAGTATGAGGCTCAAAAAACATAAAAGACCAGTTTTGCATTTGGGGAAATTGGCACGTCTCTCTGAGACATAAATACATAATATTATTTATTAATTAATAATAAATTGTGCATAAAAATCATAATATTCATCTTAAAATAATCTATCATTTTCGACGTGGTAGAGCCATGCTGCAGCTTCGAGTATATTAAATTTGTAGTACGAGTGCATCGGCTTAACCGGGACCACGCTCTAAAAAATTTACGCTGATAAAATAACAGCATAACAGCCTAACGCTGCCATTTTACGTTGGTACCCTTTTTACTAAAAACGAGGCATTCTATCCTAGTACTCAGGGGTGACAATGCATCTACATTTTGATTACTATTTGAAGATAGATGTAGATGTCTTAGGCCGCAGCATCCACTTACCATTGGGTGGACCGTACGTTCCGTGATGACTCATATGACCGTATGTTCGTTTGTCACCCTTATAATATAAAAAATATATTCCTAACACCATATCGTGGCCGTGTATGGACCCATCACCACATTCCCGCATGTGGAAGTCGTAAGACGCGTCTTTGGGAAAAACTAGAAAGATCTTTATGGTTTCCGGTAGAAACTAACAATTGTTTTACACTAGACATAAAATTTCTAAGCTATCAAGGAATATCAGAGTCAAAGGTCCGAGACGTCTACACACCTGTACTGCGATCGTCAATCTGCAGCCAAGCTTAACGATTAGGTCAAATTATTCCATCCACTTTTATCTGCTGATATAGGTAAAGAACTTGTTCCTTAAACTTCTCACAATATTTAAAAAAGTTATAGATTTTTTCTAATAATGTCCTCCAGATCAAATTTCGGTCAAGGCGGCCAGTTTAAACGAAGACTTGCCATCTGTGCAGGACAGGATTATAGTGCGCGAGCTTGTGCACAAACACAGGTGCACTCCCTATTCCCTCCACTATCACAGACCGCTGGCATAGAAATTTGACACGACCGAAGGAAGACAGGCGCAGGACCAACGGCTTTACATGTTTTCCAAGGCACGGAGATAAAACACCACCAACTTTCGTACGCCGGACTGTTACTGAAAATTTCTTGACAGAAAAACTCAATAACTAATTTTTGTTAGCCATACCCGGCATTGGAACTTGCAACGTCATGATCAACTGTCTCGTTTACGGCCACCAAAACAACGAGAAGGTCAAGTATTTTGTATGCTAATGTTAAGTTATGTATAACCACAAACACTGAAAGGGAAATACTTACAAGGTATAAGCCAATCACCGACGGGCATCTTTGCCCCTACTTCAATCCTCCCATACTTGAAACTGAACGTTCTTTTTGTTGTAACTTTAGCTGTGATGGCTGGTGGTAGAATTTGAGGTCCAAATGCTTCTCTATAGCACTCACTGTTGGACATTGTGCCAGTGCATCTAAGCAAACAAATTTTTATATGGGTTAGTTCAGAGAGACACACCGCAGCTGTATAATTAGCTAAAGCACGAAAAAAAAAGCTCTAACAGAGCACTATCGCAAAATATTAGCTTAATGGCTTGCTTTATAGAGCAGGACTGTATTTCATGCCAGTACACCGTGTGTAGCTTTACAGGGCAAAAGTTCTGCATATTATGAAATACTATCATCTTAGTTCTCAAGGATGATAACACATCGGCATTTTGATTATTTAATTGGTGATATATGTAGCAATCTCACAATATCCGCATACAATTAAGTGAACAGATAGAACCAGAGTAACCGACATAGCCCAACGGATTAGTAAGTTGGCAATGGATCAGCCGTATAGCTCGAAGAACGAACAATCGATGGGGGAGAAAGATTCTCGAGTGGCAGCTTCGTATCGGCAGACGAAGTATAGAAGATGTGTGACGACCGTGTAAGACAAGGAACTCGATGGATGCAGATGACTCAGGATCGTGCTTTGAGGCATTCCTTGAGGGAGGCCCATGTTCATCAGTGGACTTGTGACGGGTTGTAATAATGATGATGATGATTAAGTGAACAGTGTGTTTGTTAGTCGATCTTACTTGGTTGAAAAATAAAAACTTCATTTGAATACAAATTTTATAAAAAGAAATTCCTTCTGACCGATTTCGTCCACGTTAACGCTCGAGTTACCTCGGAGTGTGGCCCGGACTGAAAACCAATGCTACCTGATCAATTTCCAATGTGACCGGACCATTACGCAGTTTCATATCGCATTATAAGAGAATTATTTTATATGTGTTATATTTTTGTTTCGTTTCATTTGTCTTTATCCTATTATTAGTTGTAGATATTCGGGTTCTGCTGATCTCCTGCATATGATCAGCAGTAAACTTGAATTAGGTGGCCTAGAAAATAATGATACATCAAGATCAGGAAATTATTAGACTTAGACCTCACGGGTGACAACACATCTGCATTTTGATTCGTTATCAAGTATACATGTAGATGTTCATGGGCCACAGCAACCACTTACCATCAGGTGGACTGTGTGCTCGATTGTCACCCTTATTCCATTAAAAAATGCTAACGTTGGCGTAGCGCGTCCGACTCTTCCCAGCTCTAAAACTCTTAAAAACAAGTGGAAGCTTGTGTTGAGCAGTGGGACATACAATGTATGTAGGAATTTACTTACCTATCTCTTAAATCAAGTGAACGTCTAACAAAATCAAATCCATAATCTGATTCCAGTGTTATAGGATGGATGAATAGCTTCCCATCTTCTACTCGAGCCTTTTTTTCGTATATATTGAACGGGTAATCCTGAAACAATAGCAAGGCTAATGAACGAGCACATGACCTTGCAGCCGAGCACATCCACCTTGTGATAATATACATGCTGTAGCTCATAGAAATTTATGTTTATCTTCAATTTAGAATCATAATAGCGGATCTATTGTCACCTCTGAGGACTAAGAGGGAATACTTCTATAAATGGTCTCCGGTGTCGTCTTTTACCGTACAAAACCCAGCACCATTGAGATACTTATTACGCTGATATTGTGTTAGCGTATTTTTACGCCAAACGTAAAGTATACAGCGTGAAAGCAAAGGTCTGTTACTGCGATCATCTATTCTCCTGCCAAGAGAGTCTTAAAATATGTCTGTATATTGTATCAGCTTAAAACAGCAAGAACTAGTAGACAACTTATTTAAGTTATTCATATATTTCCGTATATAATATGAATTCATTCCAGTGTTGTCATAAATTAACCTTTTTTATAGAAGAGGGGGCAAACGAGCATTCGGCATACCTGACACTGGTGACACTGTAAGTGACTACCAGCGCCCATGAACAACCGCACCACCATTAAAGATCTCTTAGAAAGGACTAAGCTCTTTTCTTGAAGGTCCGTAGGTCGTATCGGTCCGGAAAAGTCGCTGGTGGTAAACTGACCACAGAGAAGTTGTAAGAGGAAGAAAATTCCTAGTAAAACGTACAGTAGTGGACCGCTAAGCATCCATATGGTGAGGATGGTATCGGGAATTTTGACGCGATGTGCGTTCGTGAAATTTGGCGGCTGGAACTAATACGAACAATTCCTCAGAACACTGCCCATGGTAAATACGATAGAAAACGCAAAGAAAATAGAAAACATAAGATAGAACACATCCCTACTTAGCGATAGTGAATCGAGTTGATCAGAAAGAACTCGGTTGTCGACGATTCAAATCGCTTTGCGCTGGATGCGGTCAATTGAAAGAAGCTGGCACTGGGGTGCCCCGGCCCAGAGATGAGAACAGTATTCCAGGTGAGACCGAACTTGCGCTTTGTAAAGTTGCAAGTGATGTGCTGGCGTGAAACACTGTCTCGCTCTGTCGAGCCCGCCATCTTTTTAGTGGTCAATTTGGCCTTCCCTCCAAGTAACCGTGACACAACTGCACACCATTCGATATGTCGACACCGAGGATTCTGATGCTAGCTGAGGCAACAAGAGAAGTGCCTTCAAACTGAGGAGATACGACAAAGGGGTTCTTTTTAGCAGTTAACGCGCAAACTTGTGTCTTCTGGGGATTGAATTGAACTACATTTAGTCGCCCCCAATCCGAGACTTTGTTTAGCAAAAACTCGACTTCAGACACCAATTTGTCCCGGTACTCGGTGATGATTTTCTGAGAAATATTGCCACGGCCGGTGTTTAAGGCATCATCAGTGCTGTCGTGTGCATAGCAATGAATGTATCAGTTTGCTACATATCATTGATATGCAGAAGAAACAGAGTTGGTGATAGCACGCAGCCTTGCGAATACCAGCGTTAATAGGCTTGTAATCAGAACGTGTACCGTCTACTACGACCTTGATGCTCCGATTAGCGAGAAAACTAGTGATCCAATCGCACAATTTCTCGGTAAGCCCCATAGGAAGGGAGCTTCGAAAAAATCGCTTTGTACCAGACCCGATCGAAGGCCTTCACTATGTCCAAACTAACGGCCAATGCCTCCCCCTTGGACTCTACTGCCTCCACCCTACTAGGTAGATCAGAAGATCACCAGCCCATCGACTACGACGGAAACCGTATCGGCGGTCACTGATCTGCTGGTGATCCTCAAGGTACCTCATGAGCTGGCAGTTTACAATAGACTCAATTATTTTGGAGAACAAGGAGGTGATGGCGATAGGCCTGTAGTTGTATGGGTCTGAGCGGTCACTTTTTCAGGGATAGGATGGACCAAAGCTGTCTTCCAAGAATTCGGGACTACGCCTTTACAGTACACGGAGCACAAGTCTTCAGCATAATGGCCATCAGGCCTACTCGACTTACTGACGTCCTGGGAGGAGAGTGCTTTGTGAACCGAGTACTTTGTGAACCGCACAAAACTAACTAAACTAACCTGCAACGTGACCATTAAACCCTGATGTTGTATAAGAGCAGTTGGAAGTTTTATTATTGAACCAACTAGAGCAGCATAACTCTATTCGTATTCGGAATCGTCACCGTTATAGCTTATAAAGGTTCACTGCTGAACAATATTTTAATTTTTTTAATTAATTTAAATGTTAAAGTTAAAGTTACAGCCGATATACGTCCCACTGCTGGGCACAGGCCTCCTCTCGTTTCTGAGAGGGTTTAGGGCAAGGAAGAGTCCGCTGCGCTGCCCCAATACATGTTGGTGAACTTCACATGTCTTCGAAATATTTTTTTTCTTATTTCTCCGACATGCAGGTTTCCTCACGATGTTTTCCTTCAGCGCCGAGCACGTGGTAAATCAGCACTTAAAATTGCAATTAACAATTTCGTTGGGGCCGGCGGGGATCGAACCTGGGTTACTCGCGTTCTGTTAAAATATAATATAAATACTACCATTAAACCTAAACGCCCATTGTAGATTTTTTATTTAATAATAATAATAATACGCTGACCCAATGCTTGTTGGTGACTTCAAATGTCCCTGAAATATTTTTTTACAAATCTGAGAAATAAGAAAAAAAAATATTTCGAAATTAATTTAATTATATCAAAATTTTGCCTCTCCTCAAGATGAAGACAAGACAAGAGGAAGACGCTGCTCCCCACCTCATGTAGATAGTTTTACACCGTCGCTATACGGTTAATGTATGAGTGTATGAGGCGCGCTGGCACCTGACTCAAATAAATATTTGGGCTACATAGCTGAGGGTTCTTAACGAGTCTGCTTGTGCTAGCGTGAAAAAATCTCACTTGCAACGAGGGCGGGGTCAGGATTAACAGTGAAAGATTATATCAAATCCTCTCTGCAACGGGAGAGGCCCATGTCCAGATTCCAACGTTGTAGAGCCACGCAGCAGCTATATTATAGTTGTGGCATGAATGGGTCCGCTCGACTGGGTAAGGACCACGTTATCACAAAATACCAACGTAAAAAGCTTAATTCTACTTTGTTTCGTATGGTGATTGTAGAGAACCGGAGACCTGACCGTTGCACTGGAAACAAGGCATTCCATCTTAATCTCCAGGCGTGACAAAGCATCTGTCATTTTGATTCTTAATCGATGATAGATGTGACAGAAGTCCATGGGCCACAGCATCCACTTACCACCAGGTGGACTGTGTTTTCAGTTATCACTCTTTTTCTTGAAAAGACAATGTTTACTTTTACAGGCTGATGAAGAAGAATAAGTGGTTTTCTAAAGGTCACCCTGGTGCATTGTGTGGTCAGATTTGTAATTTTCGGAATTTCGTAAAAAAATGGGATAACACTTACCGGCTGACCTGGAAACATGATTTCGGAAGTCCATATCTTAATCTCATCTATGTTAAAATTGAAATTGTCTTCGAACACGAGTTGTCCTTTGCAGATAAACCCGGGTATGGATATCTCGCTCTTTGATAATTCGCATGGGATAACAACCGAATTCGCACTTGTAGGCGTGGACAAATTATTGACTACATCATTGTTTCCCGTGTTCGATGTTAATATAGGTTTATTAGTTGGATTGTCTACACCTGAAACAGTACTTCTTGTTTTTTATGATAATAATTGTTTGATATCGTTACCGTTACAGTCCATTAAAGTCCACTGCTTAACATAGGCCTCCCCCACAGATTGCCTCATAGGGGGAATATTTGCAATAATTTCCACGCTTGGCAAGCGGGTTGCCAACTGCAGTTTTTTTTTATTTTTAGTCGTTATTAGCAAGACGCTGCCGCTCATCTCCTGATTTGTTTCCCTCTGTCGCCTCTTACGATACCCACGGGATGATAATATGGACTTCTTATTTAATGATATTTACTTAATAGTTTTATATTACATTGGGTGTGTTTAGCAGAAAAAAGCGCTAGCAAGCGCTTGTAAGCAAAATTGCGAAACTAAACAGTTTTCGACCAGGACACGTTTGCTAACTTCAGTAGCGCTGACACAATCCGCCATTTTGCTTCTTTAATTTGTTTGTTTTGTAGTAGAGTTCATAAGTTGTTTTGTGCAATATTAGTTTTAAGTAATATAATGACATGAATAGACATATACTTGTTATTAAAAATTCATAATTGGTAAGTTTTTAATATGAATACTTTACATACATATATTTTTAAATTAGGTTAGGTTCTCCGGTTAAAACTAACTTCGTGTCCTAGAGGAAAATAGCTACTTACGATTTGACAGCGCTTACCGCTTACGATCGCCATTTTGCTTACAAGCGCTTGCTAGCGCTTTTCTCTGCCAAACGCACCCATTGATAATTTTACGTTACAACGACTGTTCTTTTCAATACGGTATTACATTTAGATGAAAATTTCATTAAATGGTTATAATGATTATGATTCGATCTACTATGAACCTGTTATGATTGCAACAAATAGATCGGCTCGTACGGAACAGGACCATGGTCTCACAAAATACGAACCTTAAATAGTACAAAACAATACAATACAATATATTTATTTGCATTCCATAACGTAGAAATTAATAATATTCAATTTTCACAATATGGACCCTGTCGGGTATAACAAATTAGAACAGAGGAGGACGCAAAAATGTTTTATTATTCATTATAATTATTATATTATTCATTATATTTAAATTATTCCTTATTATTATACTATCCCTATTCGTGTTATTCATTCATTTATTTATAGTTTTCATTATCATTATTACATTTGTCATTCAGGTATTCATATAAAGTATAATAACATTTATTGATTAGAAACACTTTTAATTGTCTTATAAAAATATGATCATTTGTTTCGTTTTTTAATGAGTTTGGTAGTTTATTATAGACAGTTATTGACATTATGTAAGGGCCTGAGGAAAAGAGCTTCATTTTAGAAGTTGGTACGAGGCAATAATTTATTTCCGTGTCTTAAACTATAAGCCGTAATTTTAGTTTCTCTTTTTACGTAGAAATTAGGGTATTTTCGCACAAATTTGCATAATTCCAATATATAAATACAAATTAGGGTAAGAAGTTTAAGTTTTTTAAAATGAGGACGACAACTTTCAGTTCTTTCTATGTTACACATAATGCGAAAAAAATTCTGTAAGATGAAGATGGTGGTTACATCTGTACTGTTTCCCCACAGGATAATACCGTACCTTAGCCACGCCTGTGCATAGGCATTGTAAGTAATTAACGCGGTCTGGAGGTCAGTTGTCTTTTTTATTTCACTTAGGGCGTATACAAAACTAGAAAATTTGTTACGAATTTTCTGAACGTGAGATTTCCAGTTGATGTGACTATCCAAAACTATGCCGAGTAGAGTGTGCTCATTTACAGTCTCGATTTTTGTATTTTTGTAAGAAAAATTAATTTTTATCGGCGCTTTTTGATAGGGGTAAAATTTTTGTTTTTTTTTGTAGTTTATTTCCAGGTTATGGAAATACCTCTTTCATCCATTGGTCAGTATTTTCAAATATTTTATATAATATATCATTTACGTTATTTACGTCACGACAAGGTGCTAAGATAGAGATATCGTCCGCAAACATAACACATGGGTTAACCATAGTTTCACTGAGATTGTTAATATATATTAAAAATAATAAATATCCCAATACACTACCTTGGGGTATTGAAGCATTTACAATTATTTTATTTGATCTCACTTTTAATATTTTATTATTATCAAAGTATTCTATTTCTACATATTGTTCTCTATCTTGTAAGTATGATTTGAACCATTCTAAACTAATCCCACGCAACCTATACAATTTAATTTATTAAGTAATATATTATATTGTACCTTATCGTATGCTTTGGTCATATCTAAGAGTATTCCTATTGCATATTCTTTATTGTTTAATATCTTTAAAATATCTTGAATATATTTATATACTGCTAGTACGGTAGATCGATTTTTACGGAAACCGTTCTGAAATTCACTAAAGATTTTATATTTTTCGCAAAAAATTATACACACGTTCGAACATTTCTTTTTCAAAAACTTTTGAGATTGTAGGGAGTAAAGCTATGGGGCGATAATTATCGATATCGGTTTTTGAATTTTTCTTATGGATGGGTATTATTAATGCCTTTTTTAACATGTCTGGGAAAATGCCTTCTGTGAAAGATTGGTTGATTAGTTCACAAAGTGGTAGAGCTAACGCATCTGCGCAATATTTTATTAAGGCTGGTGGTAATTCGTCTACCCCGAAGCTCATTTTATTTTTAAAATTTGTATTATTTTATATACTTCCCTTGGGGTCACTGGGCTTAGATACATAGAGTTATTTGACACTTTTTGTGCCGGTCGACCACGTGCTGGCGGGTTACAATTTTTGCCTAACGAAGCATAGAATCTATTAAAAGTATTTGCAATTAAAATCGGGTCTGAAGTTAAAGTACTGTTTATTTTTAGTTTAAGGTTATCTTTTTCTTTTATAATATTTTTATGTGTTCTTTCCTTTATTATATGCCACATTGTTTTAATTTTATTATTTGATCTTATAATTTTATTACTGTATTCTATTTTCTTTGATGTAATGACAGCTTTTTTTAGTAATTTTCCATATTTTTTATAATGTTGGATAAGTATTTCATTATTCGATTTTAATGCGAATACCTTTAGCATTCTTTTGTGTTTACACGATTTTTTCAACCCTACGGTTAACCAACGTTTTTTATATCTCGGTTTAATTATAATTTTCTCTTTGGGTATACATTCATTCAGTATATATATTAGTTTATCGTTAAACTTTTTGTAGTTATAGTTAATATTTTTATTAGGTTCCAAAATTTCCGACCAATTGCATGACTCTAATTTGGATTTAAAGTTTTGCATATTATTGCAATTAAATTTTCTTTTGTCTGTATACCATATATTTTGTTCGTTTTGCTTATTTATTTCTATATCTATAATTGTGCTCATGTGGTCGGAAAGTCCAAATTCTTCTACACTAGTTTTTAGTTTTAGGTTTGTAAATATTAAGTCTAAGCATGTTGATGTGGTTTTAGTTATACGAGTAGGCTTTGTTATATGTTGATTAAATTGAAATTCTAGCATTAGATTTAAAAATTGTCTAGTCTTTGTATTGTCTTTTAATATGTCAATATTGAAGTCACCTCCTATAATTATACTGTATTTAGAAGAATTTTTTATTTATATAATTTAAGATATATTGTAACCGATTATAGAATGCGTCTTCCTCTCTTCCATTCCAATACACAGTTATAATTAAAATATTTTCTTCTGGTAGCTCCACTGCACACACTTCTATTATATATTCTATTGACATTTTGGCTATTTCTTCTCTTTCTACATATTTTAGAACATCTTTCAACAAGATACAAACTCCGCCGCCAACGCGGGATTTTCTACAGAATGAAGCAGCTATCCTATAATTTGAAAATTGTATTATCTGTAGTTTTTCAAGCGTTAGCCAAGATTCTGTGATACATATTACTTGAAACTGTGAGAACTCTATCAAAAATGCTTCTAGTATGTCTTGTTTATTGAAGATGCTCTGTATGTTTTGAAATTACATTGGGATTTTTTTTCCCTGGTTTGTTATATTTTACATCAGATCGTGATTTGCATATAGGTTTTGTTACAGAATTATCCTTAATGTTCGAATTTTGTATATTATGATTTATGGCAGTACTAACGAAAAAATTTATCGTTATTAGTAATCACATCTGTCGGGACACAGTGAATATCCTGTTTAGGTAGCCTAATGCCTTTTAACATTTTCTGTATTTCTTTACTTTGTTAATTTTTGATTTTACGTTTATAGTCGAGTCGTAATATTTCTTGGAGTATATTCTGGCACAGATGTCTTAAGTTATTACGTGGTTGGCCTAAATATGTATAGTGTAAATCTATGTAGTTAACATTGGGTAACTTCGCGCTGTATGACTTAAATATTCTATTTATATCTTCAGTATTATGTCCCTTATTAACAGTTTCGCATAATATAATATTTGTGTTTTTAAGTTGGCTTAGATAATAAAATAGGTAGGAACTTATTTTTGTTAAATCACTGTCATTTTTCCCTGTTAGAATCAAAACATAGTCCTTATTACTGTAAGTTGAGCAATTGAGCTTAATGCCTTCTAGTATTTTGTCCGTTGTAGCTCCTGGTTTTATTTCACCATACACCTTATATTTATTTAAAAGTAATTTTCATAATTGTGTAGTTACGCCTCGGCCTTGTTCATCTCCAAATATATATAATCTGTGTTCGTATATGTGTTGTTCTTCTATAGACTCATTTTTTAATTGGCTCTCTCTTCTCTGTCTTGCGTTTGTTCGAATTACGGAATTTTTACTATCAACGATTTTTTTGCTTTTCAGACGGTGTTTCGGTTCGTTTTGCTGCGCTTTCATCATGGAGGCTATTCTTTTCTTCCTCGGTGAAGCTAAGCTTAGTTCTATTTAAACTCCTCCGGATTTTTTTGTTTTGTAGGTTTTTTTGTCCGATGTCCGATGTACATATTTCAGTCAACGTTTTTATTTTTCGCTCATATTCGGCTAGTTGTTTACTTAAAGCAGTATTTTCAGAGTGCAGGTTTTCGATTTCGTTTTCAGCAGCCTTCAGTTTCAACTCTAGATGTGATATTTTATATTTCATTTCCTGTGTATCTTCCTCTAGATCTAGTTCTATATTTGGACAACTTCTGTTCAATTTACTGTCTGTGATAAAGGAAGAATATTCTTCGTCTGATAAACCTTCAAAAGAATTTTCAGTAGGTATATTTATTTTATACTTATTTCGTTCGGTTACGTAACAGCTCTTTTCATTTTGGTTTGTATCTGTAAACAACACCCAGCAGTTTGTACATTTCCATTTATTTTTATAATCATTTGCCATAAGGTGAAATCTTTTTTTCTGTAATATCAGTGCATTCAATGTGATATTTGTTTTTGCAATTGCTACACACTAGATAATGTCGTGTTTCTATTAAATTTTTACACTTTATGCATAATAGTGACATCCCTAGTGATTTGTCGGCACTAATAGGTAGCTATAAACCACACTTTACGTTTGTATTGATCGTACCGCAGCAACAGAGCAAGAAGTTAAGGTACTCGCAAATAGATGGCGCTAATTGTATTTAGCAGCAGAATAATAGCTTTGTGCTTAGGTCTAAAGTTCAAACTGTAATCGGTACACGTATTTGTCGTTATACGAATTTAAAAGTAAAGCACTGTTCACTGATACACATAGTTTTGTTTGAGACGGCTCTTTGCAACATTTAATTGTTTATAGTCTAACTGAGTAAAAATGCCTTTTAGTTAACAAAATCGGAAAAGATTATGCACTGTTTAAATTCGATAAATATTTCACTTAGGTTCAACTGGTATAGTCACAAACACTGATTCACTCTCTTCGTAGTATATTTAATTTATTTTGATCACTTTTGAGCTAATTTCTTATCTTAAACTATTTTTAAACGAATTCTTTATGGAGCTAATGTTTACTTTAGCGCGCCCTCTATCTATAATTTGATACAGTAGTACAAAGCTGCTATATTTCGTATGTTGAGTTACTATTTACTGATTAATTTACCTTTAATCTTAGCCCTCGTGGGAGGCACATATCTCACATATCTGCGTATTTATTCTTAATCGATGATAGACGAAGTTGAGCATCCACATATAATCAAGTTTTTATTATAAGTTGAAGCTGTAGCTCATTGACACCTTAGTCTATCATCGATTTAGAGTAGTTAAAATATCGCTGGGCTTAGCTATCAATATAGTTTACTTAAATTTTCTTAACTACATACAACATTAACATAAAATATTATATTAACCATTATTTTTATTTTTCAATTTTTTTTCATGCTATCAAACATACATTTGTTTAAAGAATGTGAAGTGCTATTTTAAATTGATTTTATGGCAGTTTTATTTTTATATTTTTACGAAATGTTACCGGAGAAAATTCTAATAAACAAGCAAAAATTGCACAAGGACATGTACGAGTATCCAGACCCGGAACAAGTATTCGTGCTGTATTTGAACCTGCGGCTATAAGCTATTATATAAGCTAATATTGCGGCGGCGTTTTAGTTTATTTTAGTTTTATATTTTATATTTAAAAATTCAGTGATCTTAAAAAAACCCTGAGTAAAATTAGCGTTATTAATACCATATTACTTAATTGTGCTCAGATTATATTTCTTTAGAATATTTTTCTTGCCGGTGGTGTAAAATATCCACTACCCTACCATAATAAAAATATTGTCCTCCAGACCGAATTTCGGCCACGGCGGCCTGCCTCAACGGAGGCTAGCCATCGGCGCGGACAGGATTATAGTGCCCAAGTGTATGCGCAAGCACAGGTGCACTCTCTATTCCCTTACTCTCATAATTAGATGGGACGGTAAACCGACACGACCGGAGAGAGATCAGGTGCAGGACCAACGGCTTTACGTGCTTTCCGAGGCACGGG